ACCACGAAGGGAAGCCTGCACTAAGGCATAGCAGATTAAGTCTGCATCCCATATAGGACCCCACTGTTCACTTCCAGTCCTGCACCCTGACAATGCACCTGGGAAAGCAGTGGAGGATGCCCAGGGGCCTGCATCCCTACACCCACGTGGGAGGCTTCAAAGAAGCTTCAGGTTTCTAATGTCAGCCGGACCCAGCCCAGGTCATCAGACATCTAGCAAGTGAAACAGCAGATGGAAGATCTCTCCATTTTCAAGTAAATAAAGAAATCTATTAAAGAAAAAAAGTTGAGGAGTAATACACAGGGAAGAACAGAAGTACAAAGACTATTAAGAGTGAGATCCCTGGCAAATCAGACTTAAATTCTATATAACAAATTCAATTCAGCTGGAGACACCAAGAAAAATCCCTCACCTCTGAAGTACAATCAAATTAACCCCAGACACTGGGCAGAAGGAAATAACAAATGCTCCCAGGAAAATAGTATCCCCCTGTATAGCAAATCATTTCTATAACAAATAACCCAAATAATCTGACTCTCAACCAAGGTACCCAGATACATAGGAAGACAACACAACATGTATGACAACTACTAGACAATCAATAGAACAGATCTAAGAAATCTAAATATTGGGTTTTTTTTCTCCTTTACTTCTTCTTTTTTTTTTACATTTTGAATTCTGTGGTACATTTTTGTATAGGCTGGGATTCCCCCCAAAACTCCCACGCACCATCAGATTTTTCCCATTTTGTTACAATGGTGTAGTCCTTCATAAGGAATCACAGTTCCATCAGTCTCTTATTTAAGTGTACCCCGACATTGTTGGTACAGACAACATCAGCCAGTCCAGCATCCCATTGCCTACACATGACCAACAGTTTCATTGGGAATCCATCTTTCGTCTGGATGCAGGGATGCATAACAACTCTAAATATTGTAACTCTTGGACTTCAAAATAGCTTCCCCTCAAATGTGCAACAGACAAATGAGTGGGTAAAGCACATATTGATTGCAGCATCTAGCTGGTAAGTATGCAATCATTCTCAGCAAGAGGATTTGGGGGGTAGCTGAGAATTTTGCTAATAGGGGGTTACAAACAACATCGAGTAGGCTCACATTCAAAGAAAGCAGAAAAAAGCCTATGAAACTGTGTCACATAATGCAATGTAATTAATTAAATATATATATATATTAAAAAAAAAGATAGCAGAAAATAATTTTAAATGGTAGAGTAGATCTGAAATTTTCAGCTTCATGCTAACCCACCTGGGAGGCACTGGAAACAGCTCAAGTAACGGGGTTCCTGCCACCACATGAGACCTGGATCCAGTTTCCGGATCCGGCTATGGCCTAGTCCAGATCTGGCATTTGTGGGCTGTCTTTTTTTTTTCTAATTTTGAATTATGTGGTACAATTTCATATAGGCTGGGATTCCCCCCTTAACTCCCACCCCCGACATATTTTTCCCATTTTGCTACAGTTGCATAATCCTTCCTAAGGAATTATAATTGCATCAGTATCTTATTTAAGTGTACCCCAACACTGCTGGTACAGACAATGTCAGACAGTCCAGTATCCCATTGCCTACACATGACCAACAGTTTCATTGGGAGTCCATCTTTCGTCTGGAAGCAGGGATGCATGTTCCACTATACCCCCATATCTGTATGTGACAGACCCCAGTACTCTATCACTATACATTTCCTTAATTGAGAAACCATGAAACAAGGTCAACAACTGGTATAAATTAGAACATCCACAATAACAACAACATCAACAACAAATTACAGCACCATGAAAAAACACGCCACTGAGTAACCAACACGTAAGTGACAAAAAGGAAACACAAAAGTCTCGTGGGAAAAATTATGTCACTGTGTAATCCATGAGCCAGTGATGAATTCAACAAGAGAAAAGAAATTATTTGGAATAAACAAAACTGAAATTAAAAACATCAAAACACATGGCAAACAGCCAAAAGAGCAAACAAACAAGCAACTCCCAAAAAATTTAAAAACACGAGTTAAGACAGTAAGACTCAAAATCAACTGCATTTCCATGTAAACAACAACTGCAGATAGAAAACTTAAAAACAAGATATTTTAAATGCCCTCCAGTATCACGTATCTAGAGGATCAGACCCTCTCCAGAAAAATTTACAACTTCATGGATTAACAATAAAGAATTAAATAAATGACTAGAGACAAGAAATATTTTAAAGATTTCATTTCTGTCTTAGTAAGGCAGAATGACAGGGAAGAGAAGGAGAGACGAAGATCTGGTTCACTCGCCAACGGCTGGGACGGCTCAGAGCTGGGCCGAGGCCATGGCTCCCGAGCAGACAGCAGGAATCAAGGTACTCGGTCACCATCCGCTGCCTCCCAGCTGCCCAAGCAGGGCACTAGATGAAAACCGCAGAGCAGCCACGACCCGAAGCAGGAACTGCTATGGGAACTCAGGCATTCCACCTGTCGGCTTAACCCACTGCGTCTTCACAGTTACTCCAGAGCCTGGGTTCTTTAAAGACATATAGTCAATGGAATCTCATTATCAATCCCAACAGGATTACGTCACATGGTATAATAACAACTGATATCTAAGTGTGTATGGAAGTGCAAAGGATGAAGAGTCAGATGTTCTTAAAAAAGAAATAAAAAAATATGAACTTTTCAAAAACATCAAATAAAAGGTTGTAGAATTTACGAAAACAGACAAACAGAACAGAATAGTCATCAGACATAGACCCCACCACCCACACACACACACGCAAACGGTGTCTGATGTGACACAGAGAACATGGTAATAGCGAGAAGATGTTTTATTTTGCTAGCAAAGTTGGGAGTGTGTCTATCCAAATGTAAACTAACAAAGTCAAACCTCCTCATTAGTCATAAAAATAAATTCTACCAGGTTGGTAATGAGGTTCCTACAAGTGAACCTCAGAATTAAACAAATGAAAAAATATATAACTATTAAATAGAACTATTATAACTATATAAACACATATAACTATTTGAAGTTCAAAATGTGTTAGATATTCTCACTCAGTAATCTTGGTATAGTTTTACTGAAAGGATTTTACATAGAAGAATACAGAAAATAAGTAACTAGAATAATGTGATTAAGGAAACAAGATTTTTTAGGAAAGGGGAGATGCAAAAATGTAAAATCAAAACTAAGTAAAAATCCTGGGCCCAGCGCAACAGCGTATGGTTAAAGTCCTCATCTTGCATGCGCCGGGATCCCATATGGTCACCGGATCTAATCCCAGCTGCCCTGCTTCCCATCCAGCTCCCTGCCTGTGGCCTGGGAAAGGAGTCAAGGACGGCCCAAAGCTTTGGGACCCTGCACACACTTGGGAGACCCAGAAGAGCCCCTAGCTCCTGACTTTGGATCGGCACAGCACCCGCTGTTGTGGTCACTTGGGGAGTGAACCATCAGACAGAAGATCTTCCTCTCTATCTCCCCCCCCCATATCCAACTTTCCAACTAAAATAAATAAATCTTAAAAAAAAAAAACTAAGTAAAAATCCTTTCTGATGTAGAAACACTTGTAAACTCAGTGTTAACTCTTTGTAAAAAAAAAATCCCCATGTGTCAGTTCTGTACACCAAAAAGGCCTACACATAATGCAAATTCAGTAATAACAATGCCCCAATCATTCACACTGTGGTCTCAAAATCAACTCTGTTAAAGGCAGAAAAAGAAACTAAAAATCTAGTTGATTCCAGTTCAGGAAAGGAACATAAGCCAGCCTGCGGATAATTCTCTGAAATCCTGAAGAAAAGAAGCTGTAAGAAGGCCGGAGCCATGTCAGGACAGAAACGGCAAGTGGAGGCACTTGCCCTGATTAAAGAAAGACCATTTGAGCATCACGAGGAATAACTCTAACAGACTTAGACATAAAAAATTTATAAAACCGTAAGTTTAAAGAAAACCAAACAAACATAAATATTGAGTTTGCCTTCACAATTTGCCCAAAAACTAGTAACAGAATCAAATCAATCCTTTAGAACTTTCCACAGGGACTCTTTAAGTATATCCAAATGTTTGCTGGAAGGAGGTCCTTTCTAAAAAACAATTGCAGCTAATAAACACAGGATAAGTTATAAAACCAGAAATACACTATTCTATGCTCCTGAAATAGAATAAAGGATCCAGCTAATCAGCATAAATGAGTCCTGAAGCGATGCCGATCCTGGCGGAGAGGGAACTGGACCAGGGTGGGAACAGTTAGACCCACTGATCAATCTCAACGTTACCAAAAATGAAATGATCCAACATGTTCTTCCTGATGTGACGCAACAGGAAATACACCCCACCACCAATGAAAAACTTTAGACAAAAACACTAAATCTAATTCTAATTAAGCCTACCAACCTAATTACGAGCTTACATGAAGACATGTAGGCACATGCTAAAAGCAGCAGAATACAACACACCTAATTCACAAGTGAGGAATGCTACAACATATATCCCAGCCTCTTCAACACACAAACATAAACCTAAAGATAAAATGACACAGACTGATGAGACTAACACAGAAGTCAGCCAGTGCAATTATACAGACAGACTTTTTCTGGATTCTGACGCTATGCTAACGTTTTCTAAAGCAATGGTTGAAAACTACAAACAGAACATCGTTGAGACTTACATATTAAGAAATCAGTAAATTTTATCAAGTGGAATAATACTTCTATCTGCAAGAAATGTATATTAGAAGCATTGACTGGTGAAATTACACAACATCTGTTATTTGGTATGAAACACTTTAAATTTATTAACAAATCACTTATGCAGAGAATGAATCAAATCTAGGTGAATTAATTTAAATCAATGCTGAAAATAAAACAATAAAAGGAAAGCTTGAGATTACACAGAAAACTTTCATACTCTCAGAGTAAGCCAGAATTTACTAAAAAAACTGAAGACTCCATAAAGAAAAATGTTTTATACCAAGAATGACTAGCTTGTACTTCACACTATTTTAAAGGTACTTACTGCTGGTAAAAGAGACTGCATGTTTTGGTTAGAGTCTGCTATTGTAGCGAGGTATACCAAGTTTGTATGCAGCATCTGCTGATACCTATTGAAACAAAACAGATACCAATATTAAAAAAATAATCTCATTCTATCTATTTAATACAAATAGCATGCTAACCATTCTTACTGTTTAATAAGACTTGTTATTTGAAAACATCAACAATAGTTTAATTTTTCCTATTTCTTGTGCAAAATTATTCCAAATAATACACTGGAAGTTAATAATGATTTTAAGGATCATAGCATTTGCTACATATAATTACTTTATTTGCACATATAAGTCAATTCACAGACCAACACAAGGTGCAAGCTCTTAACTACAGCTTAAAGGGAATGCCAACAAAACTGCAAGACAATAAATGAACTAGCTGGCCTGCAACCCAGCTTTCTACAGAGTACACTTGGCATTTTTAAGAGTAAAATTAAGAAATTCAGCAAAATGATTAGTCCTATCCTTCTCCTATCTTCATTTTGACAAAAGCCTCAAACTCAACTATAACCAACTAACTGGGTCAGAATGGAAGAGAAGGTGTGAAGAACACATTTTACTGCCTCTCTCTCTCACAGAGCCAGGACCATGAACCGAAGCCTTCTGTGGTTACACTGCCCATGGATCAAGACTCAGCAGTCACAGAAAAAAACAAACAGGTAATATCTAATGCTAAAAAAAATTGATAAAACGCAGAAATGGCAAAAATTCTAGAATACCAACACCTCCGAGATTGGTAAAGCAAATTCTCTTTATTAGTATGATGTAGTTAAAGCACACTTTCAGTTAAGCCTCTCTTCCAAACTATTAAACTTATACACACAAGCCTCGCTTAGAGCTAGTTGTGATACCATTCCCAGCATTTGGTGTTAGTGCATGCATACAAGCAAATCCCATTTTTAAAAATTGGCAACAAATGACTAGGCTGTTCAAACATTTCATTTACCAAAAATACAAAATAAAATTTTTTTAAAAAAATGAGTCAGAAGAACATATTCAACTAAATAAAGTATCTCAATTCAGATCCCAAGATAATTTTCTGAAACAGACATCACAAAAGGAATCTCACGCCCGGAGTGATAGCCTAGCGCCTAAACTCTCCTTAGCCTCGCACGCGCCACGATCCCATGGGGCGCTGGTTCACATCCCGGCAGCCCCACTTCCCATCCAGCTCCCTGCTTGTGGCCTGGAAAGGCAGGTGGCAATAACCCAAAGCCATGGGACCCAGCACTAGCGTAGGAGACCCGGGAGAGCTCCTGGCTCCTGGCTTCGGATTGGCTCAGCTCCAGCCACTGCAGTCACCAGGGGAGTGAATCAATGGACAAGAACATCTTCCTCTGTCTCTCCTCCTCTCTGTATATCTGCCTTTCCAATAAAAATACACTAATCTTTTAAAAAATTAGAATTTAAACAGGAAAACATTCATTTTTTAAAAAGGCGTCTCAATAAATTATTTGCTATATTATCTTTTTCCGGTTATAGTTTTGTCACTCTTTGCTTATTGGTTTTAAAAAAATGTCTTTTGACTGACCTTCAAATAAACTTTCACGACCAGTAAGTGTGTGATTTTGCACTGCTTCTGAAATGAACCCAATCATGTACAATACATTCTTTGATAATGATTCTTATCTATACCCCCAAGACATGACTAGTATAGGTACGCTATGGTTCACTGTGTTAGTGAACACCTTCAAATGGCACTCACAGAAACCACCAGCTAGAACTTCCTCAATAGTCCACGGGGATGTTGAGAGGAGACTGACAAACACAATTCCACCTCTTACCATGTGTTAAATACCAAGGAGTATATTTTAATTAGAACACATCACCCACTTGTGTGGAGCTGTACAGGATCCCAAGGCTTTGGGCTGTCCTTGACTGCTTTCCCAGGCCACAAGCAGGGAGCTTGATGGGAAGCGGGACCACTGGGATTAGAACTGGCACTCATATGGAATCCTAGTGTGTTCAAGGTGAGGACTTTAGCTGCTAGACTACCGCGCCAGACCCTCAATGTATTTTTTTTTAGATCATAAGAACATATCTGTCAGACTAAAGGAATAATTTACAGAACAAGTTATCTTCCAGTCTAACAGAAGAAAGCAAATTCACTTAAATTATAATGACTTTTTGCATGATTTTATAGGAAATATTCTGAAGTAGTTTGAGTCATCCTAAAATAAAAAAGGCTGATTTAAACAAACGCAGGTTGATTTAGAAAATGCTCAAAGCAATGCCACAGAGTTAATATAAAATCAACCCAATAGCCATACAAGAGCTTAAACAGAAAAGGGTGTGGAAACACCAGCTCCACAGCTCCTTACCACTTATATCAGTGGGCTTATCTGTAGACAAGGTTAGATAGAGCCATACATTCAAACATCTTACCAATGAAAAATGACTGGTTGGAAGAAATATGGTGTTCATTCTCTTATTACTAAATATTTATGTTGTCAAGTTCCGACAACATATGCTGTTCTCATAAAATAACTACTTTTAATTAGAAAATACTTTCAGGCAAAATGATCATGTCTTCAAAAACTATTTTATGAGGGTCAAGCATGGTAGCCTGGTGGCTAAAGTCCTCGCCTTGCACACGGCAGGATCCCATATGGGCACCAGTTTGTGTCCCAGCCGACCCACTTCCATCCAGCTCCCTGCTTGTGGTCTGGGAAAGCAGTTGAGGACGGCCCAAAGCTTTGGGACCCTGCACCTGTGTGGGAGACCTAGAAGAGGCTTCAGGTTCCTGGCTTCAGACGGGCTCAGCTTCAGCCATTGCAGCCACTTGGGGAGTGAATCATCGGACGGAAGATCTTGCTCTCTGTCTCTCCTTCTCTCTGTATACCTGACTTTCCAATAAAAATAAATAAATCTTTTTTTTTTTTTTAAAGATTTATTTTTATTATTTTTTCATTGGAAAGGCGGATATACAGAGAGGAAGATCTTCCGTCCGATGATTCACTCCCCAAGTGAGCACAACGGGTCGATACTATGCCGATCCGGAGCCAGGAGCCTCTTCCGGGTCTCCCACGCGGGTGCAGGTTCCCAAAGCTTTGGGCCGTCCTCGACTGCTTTCCCAGGCCACAGGCAGGGAGCTGGAAGGGAAGCAGGGCTGCCGGGATTAGAACCGGCGCCCATATGGGATCCCGGGCGTGCAAGGCGAGGACCTTTAACCACTTGCGCCACCGCGCCGGGCCCAATAAATCTTTTTTTTAAAAAATTGTTTAATGGGGCCCATAGCTTAGGGGCTAAAGTCCTCGCCTTGCATGCACCAGGATCCCATATGGGCACCAGTTCTAATCCCAGCAGCTCCACTTCCCATCCAGCTTCCTGCTTGTGGCCCAGGAAAGCAGTCGAGGACGGCCCAAGGCTTTGGGACCCTGCACCCGCGTGGGAGACCCGGAAGAGGCTCCTGGCTTCGGATCGGCATAGTATCGGCCGTTGCCCTCACTTGGGGAGTGAATCATCGGACGGAAGATCTTCCTCTCTGTCTCTCCTCTCTGTATATCCGCCTTTCCAATAAAAAATAATAAAAATAAATCTTTAAAAAAATATATATATAAAGCCATCTATAGATCAACACATAAATGAAGGAATAAACAGGCAATTAGGATATAGAATTCCAAATAAATTTTAGGAGGAAGAACAGTCCAGTCATCACTTGATCATCACTAAATTAATCATGTCATGATTGTCACCTGCCAGGATTTATTTATGTGCTGAAGTATGTATGAGTGTCTCATTATCTCCCCAATAAGATACATAGGAATTATAAATGAAAAATGACTAAGAGATGAATGTTATCTCAATCCTGGGACAAACAGCAACCACGTGGCTACTGAAGATGGACAAGAAGGACGCAGAACATCTGTGGTTCTCCTGCCACAAAGTTTGCAATGTCAATTTTCTCAGAGAAATCTACCAGACCCAAAATAGCAGATTCCACAAAATAATTGGTCTAAGCTCATCAACATCATAAAAGATAAAAGACTGAGGAATAGTTCCAGATGAAGCTAAACTGAGAACACAGGGAGTACTACACTGTAACTAGCACAGGGCTCCAAACCACAATAAATCCCCGAGGACAGCGGCCAGGCGGGCAGGGCTGGGAGAGGAGCCGGCAGCCCGCGCTCTCCGTCAGCAAGCACCTACTGGCATTTTAAGACTACGTGCTCATTTCTGAGATACACTGAGATTATGGAAAACAAAACCTTCCAATTATTCTCAGGTGTCTCACAAAAACAATATGACAAAATAAATTGGACCTGGTGGTGTGGCCTAGTGGCTAAAGTCCTCGCCTTGAACGCCCCAGGATCCCATATGGGCGCCAGTTCTAATCCCGGCAGCTCCACTTCCCATCCAGCTCCCTGCTTGTGGCCTGGGAAAGCAGTCGAGGATGGCCCAAAGCTTTGGGACCCTGCACCCACATGGGAGACCCGGAAGAAGTTCCTGGATCCTGGCTTCAGATCGGCATAGTATCGGCAGTTGCGCTCACTTGGGGAGTAAATCATCGGACGGAAGATCTTCCTCTGTCTCTCCTCCTCTCTGTATATCTGACTTTGTAATAAAAAAATAAGTAAATTTTTAACAAAATAAATTGACACAGTACATGGGCTAATATATTATCAATTAGGGAACTTCAAAGAAGGTCTCACAAGAATAGGCTTTTTCAAATACCACTTTTGATCAAACATGTGTATCAAAAAAAAATTTTTTTTAAGGCTATTAGTCACTGCAGACAGAAGTAACTGAAAACCAGGGCTCTGGAAATCCGGCGGAAAGCCAATCAATACAATCTTTTTGCAGGATAATTTGGTAATTCACATGAGCTGACCTAGCAATTCCATCTAAAACCTGCAGTCTACACAAATATTAAAAACAACAGGAACATGTAAACACATATGCACGTATCCACAGAAAAACCTTTGGAATAATGTCTAATAAGTCATTTAAAGTAGTTACCTCCATGAAGGCGGGGAGATAGAAGCAGTGGGAAAGAAAAAATTACCAACTTTTACATGTCTGTGTTTTACAGAAACCAAACACATGTATGACTTTCGAACTTACAAAATATTGGGACAAATATATCTTATTCGGAAACTTCATTAGTTCCATGGGGCGAAACAAATGATGACAAGAAACCAGCTCACCGAGAGCCAGGGTCGCTGGCATTCTCTGCTTAGAACAATGAGATCCAGGAGAGAGATCTGGCCCAAAACAATGGTGAACACAGAATACTCCAAGGCTGCATTGTCTAAGCGCAGCCAGCGCACAACGAAACGTGGCTAATTCAGAATGAGATGTAGGGCAACACACACAATGGGTTTCGAAGGCTTAGTATGAAAAAAGAAGTATAAAAATCTCACTACATTTTTATAGTGATTATACAGTGAGATGATTGTTTTACTATTAACTTCATTTGTTTCTTCTTAGTTTAACAGAAAATTTTAAATTGCATGTACAGCTCACATTTATTTTCTACTGGACACTTTTCCTGAATGTTCGATCATACGCTTACTCTACCACTCCACAGTCCACCAGAGCACGCCACCTAACTGTACTAACTCTTCCAGATCCTAAAGCGTGGCCCTCAGGAAAAACCACCTCTCCCTACTTACCAGACACAAACCTTTTCATCCACATATATGAATATAAATAAATACCCTACATATTTGAATATCTACTTTTCTACACAATAGCTTATACACAAAACTGAAGTCATTCTTTAACAATGTACTGCAACAGATATTTAAAAAAACGGTACCCATTACTCTGGCATAGATCTCTTTTGCGTAAAAATCAAGAAAAACCACATAAATATTCACCATGGTATTCTGTGCTAAGACGAGGGGGGAAAAAAAAACCAATGCCCATCACTGATGAAGAGAATTTGAGAAGCTGCCTACTGGTAAAGATTTTGGTCATAAAAAGGAAGGAAATACTTCAAAAAGCATATGACAAAGTCTATCAACTCCTATCGGGCACAGGCACGCGGCCTATCATCCCACACAGAAGGGCCTGGGTTCGATACCCCCTTGAGCTCCTGCCGAAGCAGACCCACAGGGCGGCGGTGATGCCTCCAGCAGCTGTGTCCTTGGACGCCATGTGGGAGAGCTGGCCTGAGTTCCTGGCTCCTGGCCACGGCAGGCACCTGGGGAGTGGACTAGTCCCTGGGAGCTCGGTCACTTGCTAGTGCTCCCTCCACGTCCGCCTCGCAAATAAACTTAAAACAAAAAAAGACTATTACAAAGAGATACTCAAAAATTCAAGGAAAATGTGGATTATTGAAAAGAATTCATGGATTTTAATGCTTTTGCACCTGACATTACTGTTCAATTGCAATTTTCACAAACTTTTTTTTTTTTAATATTTATTTGACAAGCAGAGCAAGAGAGATTTTCCATTTGCTGGTTCACTCCAAAAATAGCTGTCAAAAGACAGGACTAGCCCAAGCTGAAGGCAAGAGCCAGGAGCCAGGAACTCCATGGGGTCTCCCAACACTCGGTCATCTTTCACTGCTTTCCCGCGCCCCTAACATGAGGCTGTTAGCACCACAGGCAGCAGCTTGACACACTGCGCTACCTCTAGGACTGGACCACCAGAACTTTCTGAAGTATCCTCACACTGCAGGAATTCATCAACACCAAATGTTACAACAGATACACCTACACAAACAGTAGATTACAGGTTGTCAGGGAGTGAAGGATCAGGCAGAATGGGACGTGAGCATCACTGAGCACCGAGCCTCTCTGGGTGACAAGGAAAAGGTTCTCAAATCGACCGAGTGATAACAGCACAATCCAGCAGTATACTGTCAAACACTGCATTGCACACTTCAACAGAGGTGAAATGTACAGTACGCAGATTATACCTCAGTAAAGACATGGACAGTAACAAATTAATCACAAAAGTTTTTTTTAATCTTACTGAGAACACTCTGAGGTCTTTCCTTTATTCTGATAGTCCATTATACACTGAATAAGATGGTTATTTTCATCCAACATCTGAAATAAAATTAGAAAAAGTTTATTGTAAATCTAGTGCATTGAATAAAAACAAGCCCAAGAAATCAAAAAGATGTTTCAATACACACAGCTTGCACAAGATCTCTAAACCAGATCTCCTAACCATACATTCTTACTCCAAAAGCAATCACTACATGTTACATAAAAGCATTTAAGGAAGCATGCAACATTTTTTTTTGTTAATTCTGCTACATGATGCTACACAAAAAAAAAATCCAGCTCATTTTAATAAGAAAAAGAATTCTAAAGACAGATTAGTCTCATAAAATTCATTATAATCTTGTACAAAAACATAATATGCAGTACATACAGATCATTCTTTCCATTACTGGTTTTTTTCTTCAGATTTATAAGAAATGTTTCACCAGAAACCATACAGTATGTTTTTAACACATACTAGAGTTCACCACACAAAATCTTGCTTTACATCTTTAGAATATTATCATGCTTAATCAAAAATTTTTAGTATCTCCATTACAATTATATTCCTTCTGAACTGAGGCCCAGAAGGAAAACATGAATTTGTCTTATATTAACATCTAATTATGTCAGTTATTTGCTTTCTCAGAAGTTGATAAACAAAACAGAAATTGACTTAAAAATCCACCATAACAACCCAAAGCAATCCTGCCTTCAAGTGGTAAATAATTCATCTAAGTGGCACTAAGGAAAGAGTACCATTGTAGCAATTAAAAACCCTGTTTGTTGGGGCCAGCCTGGTGGCTCAACCAGCTAATCATCCGCTACATGCAGCACGAGCATCCCATGTGGACACCGGTTCTAGCCCTGGCTGCTCCACTTCCTATCCAGTTCCCTGCCTATGGACTGGGAACACAGCAGAGGATGACTCAAATGCTTGGGTCCCTGCACTTCTGTGGGAGACCCAGAAGCTCCTGGCTCCTGGCTTCCCATCAGCTGACACTTGGTCACCGGGGAGTGAACAAGCTTACCTGAGATCTCAATCTGTCTCTCCTCTCTGTAAATCTGCCTTTCAAATAAAAATAAATTAAAAAAAAAAAAAAAGACTGGTACTCTGAGAAAACTAAGTTTCAGGGAGGGGCCCAGGTATGCCTGTAAGATTAAGGGACTGGACACGTTCCCCTAGAGTGATTCAAAGAAAGAAGCACCATACCAAACATCACTCTCTCAAAGTAGCTAACGAAATCTGAAATGAAAAGCGACAATCTAGTTCACGTTAATTGGCTTCTGTTCCTAAATGAATCATAAACTGCAATTGCAAGGGAAAGAGCATTAGCAAGTCCTTCTGATGCAAGAAGCTCTGCCTTGAAAAGAGCCACCGCACAAGAAACAAAACCGTCCTCAAATGTGCAGCAACTAAGGTCCGCATCAGGCTGTCTACCTCCCTCCTCCGGCAACCTCTCCACGGTATCTGGCTGACACTGCGGATAAGACACTTCTGAGACAGGTTTTTCTGTTAGCATTTAATGATCCAGAAGCGCTATCATCAGAATTAATCCCTCATCGTAAACCTCCTAAGATTTAAGCAAAGAAAATCCTATCAGCAATAAATAAAAAGCTAAGGGTTTTTCCAGTGCAAACGTGAGGAGTAGGGACCCCTCCAGAAACACGCTTTGCACGTGTCCACACGCAGCAGTTTCTCGGGCTGCAGTCAGTCAGCGCACTGCATTTCCAGGCACTGCAAAGCCAAAGTCGCGTTGGTTCAAAAACTAAGCAACAGTTGGGCCAACGTCAAATGCCACACTACAAAACTGACAGTGAAGAGAAACTAAGGTCATCTAAGATCATCTGCAGTCAGTCAATGGTGCCCCGGGCGGTACTAAAAGAGGACGTTTCTTCTATTTTCATCGTGGTTCCAATGCATAAAATAAACAAAAACATCTAAACAGTGAGTTAACTTTGGAAAGCCTAACTCCCCGAAAATTCAGAACGCAGCCTCGCTCCTAGGCAACCAAGGCAGAAAACCATAAAGGACCTTTGTGTCCCCAAACCGCAGCAGCACGGCCGTAGCTCTGGCAGGACACAGCTCTCCCCGAGCGAGCATCGACCACGACTTAAACGGGTCGCCACTGTCTCCACACTGGACAGCTAACGCCTCAAGAAGGCAGGGGCCACGACTCACCCCACAGCCTCAGCCACTTCAATAAGCACGTGTGCAGAATCTGGGGTTCTCTCCCTCCAAAAAAACGGGGGAGGGCGGTTCTGGGAGCTCCATTCTCCGCCCCCTCGGGCTCTAACAGGGTCCCCCCGAGTTCTTCCCTAACTCGGCCGGAGTTGGCAGGACGGTGATGGCCACTGGCCGGCCGAGACCCGCCGTCGGGTCTGCCCCGAGTCGCCGCGGCGCGCGGGGCGGGGCGACGCCGAAGTAACTCCGGGGCCGCGGGAGGCGCTGGCCGCGGCCGCCCGAACGCCGCCTCATCCCCGCAGACACCGGGCGGCACTTGCTCGGGCTTTGTGCCTGAGGGAGCGAGCCTCGACGAGCCAAGCACTCGGTGGGGGAGAAAAAAAAAGAAACCGGTTCTCCCTCCTCCGCCTCCCACCCGGGCTCGGGTTCCCACACCCGGCTGTTTCCCAGCAGGCCCGCCTCCGCCTCCGCCCCCGGCCCCGGCCGACTCCCGGCCCGGCCCTGCCCCCGGGTGCCTCTCCCAGAGGCGGGACGGGGCCAGGCGTCCCCGACCCACGAGGCTTCACCTTCTGGATTGCAGCGGGAGTGATCTCCCCCTTGCCTCGCTGCCTCGGGGCCGCGAACGCCACAGACATGTTGCCGCCGTCACCACTACTGGCAAGTCCCGAGCGCTCGGGGTGAACGGCAAACTGGGGGAAAAGACGCCGGCCTCTCGGGCCGAACCACCTCGGGAATGCGGGCAGGGGGGATGCTGCGGGATCCAGCACACACCCGGCCGACCCGGCAGAGACGGGAGACTCCCAGTCCGTGGACGTCCGTGCGTCTAACAGGATCTAAGAAGCTGGAGCCTGCTAGAACTTCCCGGTCTCTCACCACGCTCGCACCCTCCACCTTTCCCTAAGCGCACACCCCCGTCCCTCTGCGCTGATGGTACGGTCGCGCCCCCAGTCCTCCCTCCGCTCGAGCGATTCAGGAAATGGTCCCGCCGCCGCGGGAGAGGGAGAGGCCGGGGCAGCCCCTGTCACAGGAAATGCGAGGCGCCCGAGCCGGCCCGCCCCTCTCGCGCGGCGGCCACTTGCCTCCCTCCCCGGCGCTCCGGATCCCCGCGCGAGCCGCGTCTCGGTGCCCAGTTGAGTTTTGCCAACTTCATCGTCACCCCCTCCTGGGAGTTGTCCGGAGACCGGAGGAGGACGGTCGGGGCTCGGGCGTCGGTGCAGACCCGTGGAGCGTCGGCGGAGAGGAGGCAGGGGTGGAAGGCGAGGTGAACGCGGATTCGCTGGTTCAAACGGCCCGGCTACGCCCCACACGCGCGTCTCTGCAGCCCACGGTGTCGCGTCGCTCGGCAGGCCGTTCCTAACACGCCGAAAGTCACCCTAAGCCCAAATCGGGACACCGGGACTGTGTCCGGCTCTAAGGGACAGGCGGCCATCGGGGCCCAAGGACCGCAGGACGGGAGTTCGCCTCTCGGCATAGACTGCTGCCAGGAAAGAAATGTGAGGGTCGACTTTGAGCGACTTATGTCTTTTAAAAATAATAATAATAATAACGATTGAAATAAGGATCTCCTCACTTTTCTAGTTCCGTTCTTCGTGGCTTGTAAATGAGGTCCAAGCTGTCAGTCTTCAACTCCGCGGGGGTGGGAGGAAGACAAGTTTTCAAATTACCGCGGGATCGAGGGTAAATGTGGGTAGTGGATTCCTGTGAACTTTTAATCTGCAAATTTATACTTCCACATAATACAAAAGGGAAGTTTATAAAAAGTGTTACCCAATGTTAATGAGAATCAAAAACCTCTACTTGTGCTGAGAAAGACCAGCAAACAAGGACTGAAGTTGACCGGGTCTTTCCAGTTGGAACTGGAGGTCTGCATGGTGCTTGGACACGAGGTGTGAACATCCTAGCCACCTTAAAGGGAAGAAAATTTGTAATTATTCCGTAGGAATTTAAATATTTTTGTATTCAATAGCCTAATCCTTGAGAAAAAAAAAATACTCTGGTTTACTGGGAATTATTGTAATCACAGCAGTGCCAGGCGTAGGTCAGTCGAAGGGGACTGAGTAAACAGCTGGATAATGCTGCTGCCGCCGTCACCCCAACACTCTCTTCTATGCTGGTTAAAAGTGGAGTAAATACATACACACCGAAAATTATGAAATTGAGTCTGCCCAAGGTGTTTCCCTTCATAATAGCAGGTTCCCAAAGCCCCATGCATGAATAACCACACCATTTTCTATGATTCAGTGCATGCCATAAAAATGATTTTTTTAAACATTTTTGTCCATAAGATGGCTTGGGAAGCATTGGATATAGTTAGAAATATAGATTTTTTTTTAAAGATTTTTATTGAGAATCAGATATACAGAGAGGAGGAAAGACAGGAAGATCTTCCATCCACTGGTTCACTCTCCAATCTGAAGCCAGGAGTCATGAGCTTCTCCCAGGTCTCCCATGTAGGTATAGGGTCTCAAGGGTTTGGGCCATGCTCCACTGCTTTCAGGACTGCAAGCAGGGAGCTGGATGGGAAGTGGAGCAGCCAGGATAGGAACTGGCACCCATCAGAACTTGACACATTCAAAGTGAGGATTTTAGCCACTAGGCTACCGCGCTGGGCCCAATATAGATTATCTTGAGAGAAAACACTTAGATAGGCCCCTACCCCTCTCCCAAGATTCTTTGGTGCAGTGCAGTCGGTTGGTCTGAGCTTCCTGGAAGCATAGGCAACTCAGAGGGAGGGGGAAGAGGAGTTAGAGAGAGTGGAGGACTTAGACTCTTGGAGCAATTGTCACTTTGAAGAAGCCTGAGCTGGGAGATACAGTGATTCATTAGTGCACAGTGGGGATGCAAGCTGAGAAGTGTGTCCTTAGGCGATTTCCTAACTGCAAACACAGAGTGGCCCTAACCAACCTGGATGTGGTAGGTCACTCACGGCAGTGACCTCTTGAGCCAATCAAGAGCCTAGGTAAACACTAAGGCTGCTGCCTGTGCAAACTGGTGTGCTGTTTACAAGCAGCCTGTGTTGGTAAGTAGGAATATGCTGTAAACAGTAGTATGACAAGCAGATAATACACATAGCTTTTTCCTATTAAGTAGCATAAGTAAATAATTCTGTAAGTTCTACTTTATGACTGGCAGAGCAGATCTGTTTACACCAGCATCACTACTTGCACAAGTAATACCGCTGTGACATAACTACCACATCAGTAGCCCATAGAAACATTTCAGGGCCCAGCCCAATGTTCAGTGGTCAACCACTCCCCTTGCAAGTGCCAGGATCCCATATGGGCACCAGTGCATGTCCTGGCTGCTGAACCTCCAGTTCAACTCCCTGCTTATCGCCTAGGAAAGCAGTGCAGGATGGCCCAATCCTTGGGACTCTGCACCTGCAGGAGAGACCAGAAAGAAATTTGTGCCTTCGGATTGGCTCTGCTCCGGCTGTTGTTGCCATTTGGACAGTGAACCAGTGAATGGAAGCTCTTTCCTGTCCTTCTATCAATAAGATTTGCCTTTCCAATTTTTCAGCTCCATCAGAATTTCATAGGATCACCATCACATATGTAATCCTTCATTGACAGGTGGTTAAATGGCACCTAACTGTACTTCAGAGGACACAGAGTACTGTCTCACATCACCAATAGTTTTGAGCAGAATACTGAGGTAAGTTGAGTGGTAGCAGAGTTGGGAGGAAGGGGATGTGAACGAGGCCTCAGTATTTAGTGAAGGAAGAGAGGGAGAGCAGATGTGGGAAGCTGGCACTAGTCTGAGAAATTACTTAAGATATTTAACGATAAGCTAGCCAGCAATCATCTTCCCAACCAGTTAAAATCAGTCTTGTAATTTATACTCTCTTGGGTTGAAACATCTGAAAAAAGCATAGGAGTCATGTAACCAAAAGACGAAAAATTTCTTGCATTAATCCTAACACAAGTACATACTGAAATTCAGAGTAAAGTAATCTGCATGAACAGTTAATTCTTGGTTACATTGATGAATATTGACAGATGATGAGAAATTGTGCACGTCTGAGTTTCAAATAGGTTTCAAAGATTGATTTCTTGGGCCTGACATGATGGCTCAACTGGCTAATCTTTCCCGTGCAAGCTCCAAGATCCCATCTGGGCGCCAGTTCGTGTCCCAGCTGCTGAACTGGCTCAGCTCTGGCCATTGTGGCCATGTTGGGAGTGAACCAGTGGAAGGAAGATCTTTCATCTCTCTCTTCTTTTCTCTGTAAATCTGCCTTTCCAACCAACCCTCACCCATTCTGATTTATGCTTGCACCAGTAGGGTGGGCCAGGCTGACCCAGGCTACAGCAACCAGTGGCAAATGCCAAGACAAGGGGGACCATGCCCAACTGGGCTGCAGCACCCAACCAGCACAGCTGAGAACCAGGGAGGGTTCCCAGGTAGGAGAAATGTGGAGGCCCCCCTGCTGGAACACTACTCCCACTGGAGAATGTGAGTTGGGATGCAGGCAGACTGGGCAGGGCTACAACACCTGTGAGCCTCATGTGAGCCAATCAGGGAAGAGCCAGGCTTGCTTGACTGTCCCTACTGGTGCAAGACAGAACTGACCCAGTAATTGCAACCACCAGTGTGTGCATAGGTACACACAATAGATTGTGCCACATCCTGTTTTGGCAAGCACACAAAAGAATCAGGTCTCGGATCACCTCAGTTTCTTTGGGGATCGCCCCAACTGAACTTCTGCGCGCAGAACTCCAACCATGAAGAGAAGTGCAGGTTCCATGGTTTGACCATGGAGTGCATGTGTCAGAGCTAGGCCTCCTCAGCAGCTTAGACGGAGCAGTGGACAGCATATCCAAATGCATATGGAAGATATGACAGTACATCAGAACATGCAGATGACACCTGGTACCACAACAGAGGATGGAGGACAGAACAAATCAATCAACTACCCCAACCATGTGTTAACAGTGAAAATCTAGGCAATTGGAGACTCTAAGATGGACTATGTCAGCCAGTGGAATATGGAGAGATTTCATCATGCTTGGGGTGGAGGCAGCAATTCAGAACTGTTGAACTATCAAAACCACTTGAGCAGGGCCCTCAGAACATGACCCACATTAGGGACCTGGGGATGGGTGGGAGGCTGGGTGGGGCTTCTTCCCTTATCTTCTTCCTTCCCCCAGATACAGGAAGGAAAAAAGAGAATGTGTAAAAATGATGTCATCCACTTTCCTGTAGCCCTTGAGTCTTTGCACCCTAATCAACTATGCAAAAATCACCAAAAATAAAAAATTTTAAAACAACAACAACAACAACAAAATTGTGTGCCTCAGTGACTGGTTAAGCCAGGTATAGCTCTCCATATTTACCTAATTAAAAATTAAACACTGGAGGAACCAGCACTTCATTAGGCTAATTCTCAGCCTTCAAGCATTTTCTTAGGTATTGGTTGGTATCCCGGCTGCTCTACTTCCAATCAAGTTCCATGATTATGGCCTAGGAACTTAGTGGAGGATGCCCCAAGCCCTTGGGATCCTGTACGCTCAGGGGAGCACCAGAAGAACTCCTGGCTCCTGGCACTGGACAGACTGAGATTTGGCCATTACAGACATTAGGAGAGTGCATTAGCATATGGAAGATCTTTCCCTTTGTCCCGTCTCTGTCAAGCTGCCATTCAAATAAAAATAAATAAAGTTTTTTAAAAGTTAAAGCCTGGGGCCCGGCGCAATAGTGTAGTGGTTAAAGACCTCATCTTGCATGCGCCAGGATCCCATATGCGCACCAGTTCTAATCCCGGCTGGCCTGCTTTCCATCCAGCTCCCTGCTTGTGGCCTGGGAAAGCAGTCAAGGACACCCCAAAGCCTTGGGACCCTG